GGAAGTGGATCTTCAGGATGGGCCAAGGGCAGTGTCAAACCGGATCTGGTACATCCTGAAGATCCACTTCCAGAACTGGGAGCAGTTCTGGTCGATCCTGAGGATCCACCAAAACCCACTTCCAGAACTTGATGATTATTAAGATTGAATGTTGATAAATTATCAGGATTCGATCTTAATAACTTCAAAACGATATTATTAAGATTCATCCGGTAACTTTATTATTTGAATATACTTAATAACCTGATAAAAAGTTGAAAGCGTTATTAAGATTTATCGGTATTATAATCGGATCTCAATAATCTCTAGAAATTATTAGGATGGTTATTAAGATACGAATATGGCACAGCTATAATTTTATCGATTTTAGCTCTGCCAGAAGGCATTTTGTACTTTACATTTCAGTTCGATTCAAGGTCTGCGAGTGACTGAGTCGTATAACAATTTTGGAAGGAGTGATTTAAATTTTGCAAGTTTTTCAATTGAATAGACGAAAATGAAAATTCAAATGGAAATTGAGTCGAATAAAGTTGAAAAAGTGGCAGCTCAAAGTGACTGGCAAGTGATTGAAACTTATTTCAATGTGTTGAATCATATCATATCTTCAATAGCGGCCGTTTACATGAGTTTCTTGTGTTACAGTACTGGATATAAGCCAATTAGCTATCATTCTTGGCTCTGTACAATTGGAGTAAGTGATTTGTATCGAAAAGCTCAAAATAGCATAGTTTTCTGCTAAAACATAGCGAAGTGTGATGAATTTTTCTCAATTCAACTCTTTTAAAACCAAAAATGTATTTTCTGCTGTTGAAACAAATGTAGTACCAATTGTTGATGACACAAGCGATCTTAGCACTTTATTCGGAAAATGTGTGGTCAAAGCAACACACTAGACAAACGCAAAAGACCATCCATTGGGTGTTACAAGCTGTTGGTTCTTCGACTGCCATTCTTGGAATCATCATCCAATATATTGACCGGAGCCTAAATTCAAAACCACATTTTTCAAGCACACATTCGATCATTGGATTGATCGCAGCCATTTTCACATTGATTGGCATGTTCAATGGCATTTCAGCACTCTGGTCGATTAAACTCAAAAACTACGTTCGACCAGTTTACTCCAAATTGGCGCACAATTTGCATGGCACGGTTGCTTATTCATTAGGTAAATGACTTGATTTTAACTCTATTTATTGTTATCATTAGTTTTTAGCATACGCAAACCTAACACATAATAGATTTTTGTTTAAAATTGCTAATTTGAACATAAAAAAAAGTATTTTAAAACTATTCAGCGATTGACTTTAAATTCCAACATAAATAGTTTCGATAAATTGAAAAATTCCCATTCTTCCATAGGTATGACTGCTCTTTCCTATGGTTACGATCAAGATTACATGCAGGCCTACTCGCGTGAAGATATCCGAATGTGGCTTCAAGTATTGTTGTTCTTTTCATCCAATTTGACATTGATCGGTGCTTCTCGTGCAGCTCTCAATCATTATCGCAATGCCAAAAATTACAAAAAGACACAAAATGAATCTATGGAACCAGTAAAATGAGCACAAATCGAAGGAAGACCAAAAAAAAAAAAAATTTTCCCTAAGAATATGATTATAAAAAAACTCGACTCCTAATAACATAAATAATTTCTATGTAACTAAATCAACATTTTGTCATGAACGTATAGCATTTTGCGCGACTGGTAACATCAAATTAAGAAAAGTATTGAAAGAAATAAAGAAAACTTAAGAAATTATGAACATGTGTACAAACACTTGGAATCGCCAAATTGGAAACCGTGTTAACTTTGGATCAAAATATTTGTTAAGAATCGAATCATCTACACCATTCATTTGGAAAAGTTTCAAAAAATTGACAGTTAACGCAATTTCTACTAATCTATTTGAGTTAACGAGTAGTTTGGCCTTGTGCATATCAGTCTAACTAGTACTATACCCGAAACAGCTATTTTAGTCTAACTCCACGCGAATGCGGATGTTTTTGATAAATATTTGGTTGGTGCAGTAACACAATCAACGAACGTTTTCCGGCATACGCAACACAATCGTAGATCGCATCTTCTTTTTGTTTTATGTTCATCGCGACGAATGACGCAACATTGACGAATGTTGTGCAAATATTGATAAAAATATTTGCTCCAGTGCACAAATTGTATATTATTTAGTCATACTGAAAGTGTTTTATTCTAAAATATGAATATTTTTGCTGACCCAATACACACTCAATTCAATAAAACCATTAATTACACGATAGTTTTTGTCATTGTGGAATTAGATTATATATTGCAAGTTCAGTCACAGGCGAAACTGATTTGAATTTTGTTGATAAGCTTGACCAATTACAGTAGCTCTAAGAACTCCCCGTTATATTTATGTACGGAATTTGATCAGTAAATGCAAATTATCTATTTTCGAAGATCTTCTTTGTTGAAATTCATAATTTTGCAGCACTTTTACTATCTCAATTCGTGAAAATTTAAAATTTCCAATGTGTCACTCATCAAAAGTAGTTCGATCATTAATCGACGATTTTGGAGTCATTTTTGTGGCGTCTCCACTCGCATTTAATTTTCATTGTAGAAGCTTGCTTGTCAAAGTTCAAACATCATTGCAAACATATGGAAGTGAAGGAAATGACGCCAAGCTGCTCGAGGTTATTTTTATGAAATTTACGGCCTTATATCAATAAGTCGTTCAGTTTAAAAATGACATTAATTCCCATGAGATAACCTAACCGGAAGTTAGTTTATCAATTTCAGCTCTGTCAATTCTTGAAGACGATTCACATTTCACATCTCAATTTGATTCGAGATCTGCTTGTGGCTGAATCGTTTAAGAATTTCGCGTGGAGTGATAATTTCATTATATTTCGATTTAAATATTGAAAGTCTTTTAGTTGAATAGTCAAAAAATGGAAATTGAGTCGAATAAAGTTGAAAAAGTGTTAGCTCGAAGTGCTTAGCAGATGATTCAAACTTATTTCAATGTGTTAAATCATGTTATGGCTTCCATTGCTGCCGTTTACATGAGTTTCTTGTGTTACAGTACTGGGAATAAGCCAATTAGTTATCACACTTGGCTCTGTACAATTGGAGTAAGTGATTTTTACGAAGACCCCAGAATATCATAGTTTTTCACAAAATTTATGATTTTAAAAATAAAAATGTATTTTCTGCTGTTGAAACAAATGTAGTACCAATTGTTGATGACACAAGCGATCCTAGCACTTTATTCGGAAAATGTGTGGTCGAAGCAACACACTAGGCAAACGCAAAAGACCATTCATTGGGTTCTGCAAGCTGTTGGTTCTTCGGCTGCCATTATTGGAATTGTCATCGAGTACATTGGTCGAAGCCTGAATTCAAAACCACATTTTTCAAGCACACATTCGGTCATTGGACTGATCGCAGCTATTTTTAACTTGATTGGCATGTTCAATGGCATCTCAGCACTCTAGTCGATTAAACTAAAAAATTACGCTCGACCGATTTACTTCAAATTGACGCACAATTTGCATGGCATCGTTGCTTTTCTATTGGGTAAACGATTTGATTTTAACTCTTTTCATTTTCATTGCTAACTTAAATTTAAAAAAAAACATTTCAAGACTATTCGACCTGGTGATCAACTTTAAATTCAAATATAAACAATTTCGATAGATTATAAAACTCTCGTTCTTTCATAGGGATGACTGCTCTTTACTTCGGTTACGATAAATGTTACATGCAGGCCTACTCGCGTGAAGATATCCGAATATGGCTTCAAGTAGTGGCGATCTTTTTCATCAGTTTAACATTGATTGGTGCTTCTCGTGCAGCTCTCAATCATATTCGCAGTGCCAAGAATTAAAAACGCATAAAATGAATCTCCAAACACAAATAAATTTACCTTTTAATAAAAACTAATGTTTATTTTTAAAAAAAAGTTATTAAATCAAATCAAAACAATTTTAGTTGGTGCGGAAATTTTAGAGTTTACGTATTGCAGGATTTGTTGTTTTACTTAAAAGTGTTCCTATTTCAATGGCTTAAAAATAAAATGAAGAATGAATGAATGAATGGGACCAGTAAAATGTGCACAAATCGAAGGGAGACCTGAAAAAAAAATAATTTTTCTCTTGAGAATATGATTATAGTGTGGATTTCATGGCCAACTTTCAATAACTATCATTTTATCCTTACCATTTATTTGCTAGTCCAATTAGAAACGGTAACTTGATGAAATTGAATCCCTTAAAAAAAGCTTAAGTTCGATTGGATGGCTTAAGAATTATGAAATTACTAAAACTAAATGCTGTGGTGAAAACGGTAAAAGTTAAGAATTGCATCATAGAATTAGTCTAGAAAATTGAATACGAAAGGAAATCACGACAGTCATTCTTGTTAAATGTTAGTTTCTTTCTTCAATGACAACCGAATACATTTTTTTTCTTCTCTCAATGCTTATAATATTGAATCGGGACATAATTTGGAAATCATACGAAATTCATTCTTTCACCCATTGGAACTAATTTTCTCTTAAGCTCTAATGAAATAAATTAATTTTCCTCCAAATCGAAGTGAAAATCGCTTCAGTAACCTAGCAAAATGGCTTCCTTGCAGGAGGCACAACAGTTTTCGATATAGAAGTCATACGTGCACAATTTTGCTCTCACCACTGTTTGGCAGTTTTTGTATACATCAACACATTCTGAAAAATAAAGAGAATAAATTGTTTAATACTCGTCTATTTTCACTAAATTTAGGAATTTTCTTGAATAAATTAAATTTTATGCGAGAATTTGCAAGAAAAACAAAAAAATTCACTCATTAAACTTACTTGGTGTGCTGTCATTTTGAATGAGTCGAACTTTAGGTTCAACATGTTTCTTCGTTGGCACAACAACAACTGGTTTAATGGCCTCAGTCGTTTCCTCGGAATCAGACGAATCGGCATCACATTCATGTGTGTTACAACTTCTGAATGCTTGTGGTCGTTCCGAATACCGGCATTTATCCGACTCCTTCAATAATGAATCTTTCACGTCCGGTTCGAAACATTTCACCACCCGGCGTTGTGTACCAGATCCACAGCTTCGTGAACACTGAAAAAGGATTACCATTCAATTGATTATTAATTTAAATTCATCACTTTAACGTTTCATTGTAATAATAGCTAGTTCGATTTTGTCATAATATAGATCATGTCCTATAATACCTCTGTCCATTCCGAAGAATGCCACTTGGGTCTGCAGTAAGAAACGTCTTTCAATTCGCACTTTTCAATTGTAATGGGTTTCGTCGTATTTTCCACATTATTCGAGTCTAAGCACAAAGAATCGCCCACAATTTGATCGTCTTTGATGCAAAGAACCGAGCGAGATCGCATCAAATTGAAACAATCACCAAAGCAATTGCTCCACGGGCCAATGAACCAATCTCCGACGTTGCATCGCGTGGTTTCCATGCATGATCTGGTTGTGTCTGGTGTCAAACGAATGTCACAACGATCGTTTTTCGCTGAACGATCACAGAATATCGAACGGTATTGTGTTCCTTCGCCACATTTCGTTGAACACTATGATGGGAAATTACCATTGCATTTTCATTAAATATATATATTTCTATTTAATAAATAACTTATCTTTTTTTTTTTGGCAAAGAAAAATTGATTAAAACCAAATTATTCAAAAATTGAGCAAAAAATCAAAATACCTGTTCACTCCAATCGGAAGCAATCCAAATGCCTGGTTTGCGACTTTCCAAAACATGAGCTCGTTTGCCAATAGTTGAGTTGCCGATCAATGTGATTGGTTGCGAATGGTGATGATGGTGATTTTTGTCTTTGCCTTTGTGCGAATGATGACGATAGTAATCCACTTGTTGTTTCGGGCAATTACATTCTTGGTGAGCGTCTGGTTTCTGTTCCAAGCATACGACTTCGTTCACATGAATCACAATGCCTGAACTCAACTCCTGTACACATTCTATATCTCTGGTTTGATAGTCACGTTCATTGGGCAGTCCACAGTTACAAGCACTCCATTCATCGACTTTCCAATAGGCTGGACATGGCTGTTTGTTACAACGCAGGATTTCCTCATTTAAAACTGGCTTCGTTTGATGGGCACATCGTTTGTGATTGTAGAATTTCTGTGAATTTCCCTCACGAACGCAACGAATTATCGGCGTTAAACTTCCACCACCGCATGTTTTACTGCATGTCGAGAAGCTAACTACTTTCCACGTATATTGGCTGTGCTTTTTCTTTCGTTTCTCTGATTCAGCTTCCGGTGGCATATCTGCTTCCATTTCAACACTGCGCACTGTTTCATCGACAGATGAAGCAGAAGATGATGACGGTGGATTGACGGGTATCAAGTATTCGTATTTAATTCCGGGATTTTTGCTTTGACTTAGAACCTAATCAGAAATACAATGATTATTAGAGAAGCGTTGAAGCTCATTCTTTTCGCAAGAAAGCCAGCAATATTTCTAGGTTTTTCTTGCCAATCTATGAAATAGTTCTCCATACGAATGGATTCGAATCAATTCAGAGACTGATTGTATTCGTATGAAGAAGGAAAATAATTTTTGTATAAAAAGATAGAAAAAATAGAAAAAAAAATCCCTTTACCATCAAGTGAACCGCTTCTCGAATTGGTCCAGTGGCCGTGATCCATTCAGTGACACCCTCAGCATTTTCGTCGCTCGCTTCAACGGCATCATCGATGCGGCGGTAGTCAAAAACGGCACCAGCTGCTCTGTACACACCGCTATCCGAAATGATATTGTCTCCATTGATGATAAACGAATGATCGCGCTTCAATACTGCAAACGCAAGAGTAAACGAGTGAAATTCATGAATAAAGGCGTTTTATTGGTCAAATTTTATGGCTTTACGCAGTAGTTGAACGGGACAGTCACTTAATTAACTGAAAAATATTCTGTCAACACAATTAGCCTATATATAAAGGTGATAAAGCTATCATAATTTTGTTTCGTTTTTTTTTTTCAGTCATAAAATACTTTGTAATAAAACGAGTATAAATGCACTATAAATAGTCTGATTAAAAGCACTGTGTGACATGACAGTAAGTGTGTGAAAACAGTTGCTCGTTTCGAAAATTAATTTCAACCACATCAAGTGGACACATCGAAACATGCATCACAGTTTGTATCAGTCTTTCTCAGCCAAGCTCAATCATCATTACTCTTCCGTTTTCTACATCTTTATCGCAGCACATTTTGATCATGGCCAAGATTCGTCGCTATAAAAACCATTGACTGTTTTCCGTAAATCACACTCATCTCTGACTGATTTGAATGAATATTGGATAAAATTCAGACGTTGAGCTGGATCGAAGCTATATAATGAGGAGATTTATATGCACACAAATTGAAACTAAACAACCGTCCCGAGGTGATATATGAGTGTATTATGGAAATTGAACACGATAAAATAATGTAAAACGTATTGCAGTTCCGAACCGTGCCAAAAACGAAAATTTCAAGATTTAGCGAGAAGATTTGTAAGGTTGGCCGATTATATGAACGACTCTATCGATTTCGGTTGACGGTTTGAATGATTTGCTAAAGACTGCCAATTAAATTTGAAAAATGAACACACATTTCTTCCTATCAAAACTCATTTTTTTAATCTTTTTTTTTTATTCTTTTTCGAGTTTTTTGCCTCATTTTTCTTTCTACCTTCTTCTTCCAACCTTTTCTCTTCCAATCCATTCTACTCCAATTAAAAACCATATTTTCTCACGTACCCAAATAGTTGTCGCTGTTTTTAAGCTCAAGTATGGAGATATTGGAAGCTCCAGCTGGTATGGTGGCAATGTTGTAGTATCCGATTGGCAGTGGATTTTCGGTAAATATTTTGCTCACTTGATTGCATACAGTGCTTCCGCATCGAACGGCTCCATTGTTCATGAACGCACCTGTCAATATTCCACTGTTGTGAATGGCCTATTCAAACGCAAACACACCGAATTTGATAAAAAAATCACAAAAGCTGTTTATTTGAACAAAGAGACAAAAAATGAATATGGTGTAACTTGTCTTGTGAAACTCACCAGGCAGACGAATATAACGGTAAATAAACGCATTTTCGCTGTTTATTTGTTTAGGACTGGAAATAAGCGAGTATCATTTGCTTATGTCAGATAGTTGATAAATTATCGTTGAACTTCTGATTTTGGATGTGATAACGTATTGCTTTATTCGGGTTTTTTTTTAGTTCATAATAAAAGAAAAACAAATGTCAACAATTGCGAGAGTAAAGCCAAGTATCGGCGATAATTAGCACATTTGGAATTTTTCGCCCTTATCAAGTGCGGCAAATATTTTTCAACTCTCAACAATCTTCGAGAAAATCGGCTCTCATCAAACGGAATTTTCCGCGATTCATCTTTGAAAACCACTTGAAACGATCGGACAGCATTCGATGCATCAAAACACTCCAATCGTATTTCGACAGTGGGGTTTTTAAAATTAGATTTTCTCAATTGGATGCATTTGATGGATTGCAACACCATCAAGTGAACGAAGAAATGCGTGGAACACTCATTTTCGTTCTGTATGGAAAATCTTATCTTTTGAGCTAATGGGCGAAATTTCGGAACTAAAATCGCCGCTTTGATATATGATGTTTTTGTTTTGAATTCGATTTGAAACTCAATAAAATACTCCCAATTCGGAGAAAAAGATTTCACATGACTCTGAACAGTTTAGAAAATAAGATAAAAACTTGTGAGTTCCAAGCAAGAAGAGAAAAACTGTTGAAAATCCCATTTCAGCAAAGTTATTTCGAGTATTCCATTTTTTTTTTCTACCAAATTATCCGAAACTAAAACAACGAAGATAACTCATTGAAATCGACATGTATCCATTGAATTGCTTTCAATTTGCCAATAGCAGCAGCTTCGACTGCTCAAGTCGAATCAATTAAGTGAGTTTGAGTATTTCACAAGATCGAATGCACTTTGCAGCGTCCATATGGCTGCTGTGATTACCCGTTTGATTCACATTCTGTTGTTAGTTTTGTTGTTGTTCGGTTGGAATTTCATATGATGTCAAAAGCAGAGCACAACGCGCTGATTTATATGAGTCATATCATACATCAAAAGTGCCGTCGTTGATAACGGCATTTAAACTCGAATTTAAATGTTTTTAACAAATTAGATTCTCGCGCGAGTTCAGAGTGGCAAAAGCACGTTCGCGGAAGGATTAATGGGTTGATAAAGAGCATGATGTGTGTGTGTGTGTGTATGTTGTCGCCGTCTGGCAATTTGCGATGAATTATTACGGATTTCATTTGGAATGAATGACATAGTTTTCAATCAAGCATCAACGAATTTTGCGAATGAAATAAACGAGTAGGCTAAATGAGTTGGACCATTGCCAAAAATGTTTTAATCACAATTGTATCGTTGTTTTGTTCATTGCCTGGCGTGTCTCTTATCATATTTTCCGTTGAATAAACACTTAAGCATCGGGCGTGAAATCAAGCGTATATACATGGAATCGTAAATAAAAGCTGAAAGTAAACACGGAAAATAATAGTGCAAATATATGTTGAAATGTCGTCTTCAGGATCAACATGTGCTAATACAAGTAATAATATTGATTTTGAGATAGATTCTTCCTCCTATATTCGAATACATAGTAAACGCATCACAGGAAACTAATAAATTGACTCAGAATTTTCTCTGCCGTCAAGAAATTCATTTATATGGAACAAAATGTTGCCAAGTTGCGGCCGCATCGCATCGAAAATAATTTCTAATGGCTATTTAATAAACGGAACAAATCAAGCGAAAACCAAAAAACATTTTTTTCGGGATTGGAGCGGAGAAAGAAACGCAGGCGACCATATTTTATCTATATTATGGTGTTTTCGTGGCGCTCAATGCATTAGCAACAACGCACACTGTTGAAATAGCCAATCGAACTGGTTTCTTCTCCGTTTTTTTCTCCACTGAACAAAGAGAAATGAAGAGAGTTTCGCAATAAGTGAAAATATTTTGGCGGAAATTCCTAGCAACAGAATACTTAAAACTAAATAGTCTGAATCGAAGATTGTTCTGAGCGCGAGCGTGCACGAGTCTAATGCGTCATAGAGTCGATAGTTTTGAGTGTATCGTTATTAAACAGACTCATTGGTCATGCTCGATGGTTTCATTTTTGATTTAGTATTTCCTGATAGCAGCCTCTTACCGCGTTGAGAGATCTAACAAAGAAATGAGTAAAAGAAGAAGAAAAAGCAGCGCGCAAACATTTCCACTTTAAGACGGTGCAGAAAAGTGGCGTCACCACTACACATAATTATGATTAATCCAATATAATAACTTTTCTGCCGCTAACGAGAGATTCCTTCAATATTTTTTCTATTTTATTCGGTTTTATTCCAACTGATTTTTTATGACAATTCCGCGGTAGGTGAGACCGGTTGATCGCCTCATTTTAATGTATCAGTTTTCATTTTAATCCATGAGATAAAAGAATGTGATGATAATTTACGATGGGGATATGTACAAATTGGTAGTGCACAACAACAACAACGACGACAAAATATAGAGGACACGCTCTGGCGTCTCTGCTTTTTTTGCAGTTTGATGCATAAATTAGTGGAATATGATTGGAAATATGCAAATAGAAGAGTATTTTAAGAGTGGATTTTTAGATTGGAAAATGCCATAAACAGCGCGAGCTGTCATGTTAACGTGAACGCGGTCGTTTTGCTCTCAATCAACTAATTCGAAACAAAGAACTCAACGAGCTGAATCAAACACCTGATTTTGTGCATGTCAGTGTTTTTTTTCGTGTGTGCTTCGTCCAATCTCGAGGTAATGGACAGCATGAATTTATTTTTTTGCTGCAAATATTTAGCTGATACAGTGATATAGTGAGAGATTGCCTCATACTGAGAGAGAGAGAGAGAGAGAGAGAGAGAGAGAGAGAGAGAGAGAGAG